GTGGCTGCTGGCGGGACTCGAGAGTGAGCCCCAAGGCAGAACAGGGCAAGCGAAATCCGCTTACGAGCGGACAGCGTTCATCATCGAGGTCGTCATAGGTTGGACCTCGAAGCGCGCATCGTGCTGGTAGCTGGCTCCCATAATGATTCCTTTGTCAATGCGGACTGCCTTCAAGGTCATATGCCTTCGCGTGTGACTGTGCCCACGCGATGACCTTAAGCCTCTTGATAAGACACAGACACACGCGAGTCCACGCGCGTGCACAACTAGTCGCATTCCCTCAAGGGCAACTTATGTGCCTCACGCAGAAAGATGACATTACTCCAACGCGCGCCCAATCATGCCAAAAGTGAACGCGCTTGACAAGCACCTATAAGTCAGTGTCACCTCTCAACCAGTGAGTTGCAAGACGGACTGACAAGGGCTGTGGCAGCTCTACTTGCATGCCCTTTGTCAGAATGGGTTTTGTTTATGAAAACGTGTCTCACAGAAGAAGAAGAAGAAGAAGAAGAAAAAGCAGGCAATGGATATGTCTGCGAAATTGAGCTAAACGTTCGTAGAAGGCGCCAAGAAAGAAAAAACAAACCATGTGTGTTTGTGTTTGCAGTACCTTAATGAGCTGCGCAATTTTGAAGTGAAACTGAGCGTTGGCTGAAAGACGGCAGTAGATTTTGGAGCCGGGTGCGGCGAGCAGTCGATCGGCAAACTCCTTCTGCAGCATAACAACGGCAGCTCGAAAATGATTCTCCGCACTGATCAGTCGACCAATGAAGGGCGAGGAGATCTGGTAGGGCAAGTTGGCTACGCATAGGTCAAACTTGGGCCATTTCGTGGCTTTGATGACATCACCTACTATTATCTCAAGTTTGTTTCGCAGAGGACTGTGGATGATAAAAAGGAAGCAAAAAAATTGATCACAGGGTCATGACAGCCTTTTCCGAAAGCATAAGTAGGGGACGGTAGGGGGGGGCGTTTCCGCTCTTTTTTGGTGGAAAGGATTCTGCCTACCTTCGAAGCAAAAACAGCGACTTAGATACTTAAATTGGACCTGCATTTCGTATGCCGAAATGGCCACCTTCGCCGGCGTTGTCGACCTGGAAGGCCTAATTAACCACCTGAACGATCGTTTCGCGTCTTCCGTAAAACATACGATACCGCTACTTGCTAATTGGGAGTAGGTAGTTTAAAAACTGGGAGCTAGTATCATACTGGCTGCAATTTGGACAGTTGGAGTGCAGGTGACTCCATGCTGCGCAATAAGCTTCGCAGACAATCCGTATATTTGGATTCACTATGCACAAAATGGAGCACTTGGGATTACGTGGGCATGCAATAATATCAGAAATCACGTTCTGTCAAGTAGATTCCCCTCCCCTAATGCCTTCATGTTTGAATATATGTGCTTCGCCGATCTAGTAGAGGAACAGTTAAGTTCCGCCTTGCCCAGGAGCTCACAACGTGAACCCG